TCGCAGCAGTCCCAGCGCTCAGGCTGGCCGGGAGCTGAGCTCTGGGGTGCGATGTCTCCCTACTCTCTCCCCCCACCCCCACCCCCACCCCCACTGGAGGGAATGGACCCGGGTCTCCTCACGGGCGGGAAACTGAGGCACAGCGACTCGGAGGGCCCAGGTGCCGGGGCTGAGCTTGTGCTTTTATCCACTTTGCTCGCTGCCCCCCTGGCCTGGGCTGCCCCACCCCACCCTTCTCAGGCCTTTGGAAGGTGGCATTCCCCCTCGCGCCGCCAGGGGCGGGCAGGCTGTGGGTGCGGGCGAGACTGGCCCCGCGTCCCCTCCTGCTCCCACAGGCCACTTGGGTGGTGAGCTGGGCCCGGGTGTGCGGCTGCCGCCAGCGCCCCATAAACGTGCTCTGCTAATCCCGTTAACGAGCAGCACGGGAGGCTGCGAGCGAGGGCAGGCCGGCTGGGCCGGAGCATGCCAGCGGGCGGCAGGAGATGGGGGAGGTGCCGGGCAGCCCGGGCTGAGCCGGGGGAGAGGGGGGCAGGGGGAAGGGGGGGTTCAGAGACCCTCTTCCCGCACACACACAGCCCTGCCCTCAGGGACCCGCTCAGTCCCAGGAACAGGCCTCCACCTGCCCCCCACCCCCTGAGCCAGGGGGGCTGACCTCAGAGTCTGGCCATCTGTCCCCACTGCCCTCAGGCCTGGAGGTCCAGCCCAAAGCCGGACTCACTCCCGAGCCTCCCCAGGGGCCTCCTGCCCCGTGGGCGCCCCCAGCCCTCCCTCCGCACGGCCCTGCAGGCCCCTGCCCAGCGCGTCGCCCCTCCCAGCGGACGGGGACGGAGTGGTCGGTGTTTATGAGGTGAGGGGCTCAGGAAGAGGCCTCCGTTCGGGCCGTCCCCAGAAGCCCTGCCTTGCAGCAGGCGGGGGTGGCCTCGGCGGAGGGCAGGGCCTGCTCCCGGGGAGAGGACACCCCAGGGAGAAGCTCAGGGAAGCAGACGGGGACCAGGCCTGCCCTCAGCTGTCTCTCCCGTCTTTGCAAGCGGCCGCCCGTGTGGGCAGCAGGAGGAGCGGCTTTCTGCCCCTCCGCTCATTTCAGGAGCCAAAGCGCCTCCCCGACGGCCCGCCCCTCCCCCCGTCCCCGTGGCTGCCCACCCCGGCCTGTGGCACCGCCAGTCAGAGCCTGGGAGCGGGGGGGCCCAGCCGGGGTGGCATGGGCAGCCGGTCTCAGTGTTGGGGTGGGGGGTGGCGCATCTTCCTCCCGGGGCCCGCGGTTCTCTCACAAGGCTGCGCGCCCAGAGGTGACTTCCTGCACAGCAAGACGGCCTCTGTCCGAGGCCAGCCGTGCGCGCGGAGCTGCTCTGAGGCCTGCAGAGCCAGCGCCTCTCTCAGAGCTCGCTCTCTCCTCCCCGCAACCAGCACACTTCCACTCTGTGGGAGGCTCTGGGGGCCCCCGCTGCCCCCGCAGCCCTGGCCGGTTTCTGGGGGGCCTGGAGCCCGGCTCAGCTGCAGGGGAGCTGCCCGCCCTGGGGGTCTTGGGAGTGAGGGCGGCGGGGGCAGCTGAGGCTGGGCCACTGAGTCAACACGTCGGAAGTCCTCTCCGAAACCCCCCGGTCTGTCTCTGTCTCCTCTCCCTCTCCCGGCAGCCCACCTGCATGGGGCGCCGTCCGTCCGTCCGTCCGTCCGTCCGTCCGTCCGGCCGGCACTGCATGGGCCAGGGCCCTTCCCCCCACAGCTGCCCCTCGTGCTCCGTGTGCGCCCCCCCCCCCACTCCCACGCTGAAGGGAGTCTTGGCTGTCACCACAGTTCCATCCCTGAGACCCCGTCCGATTGGTCCCCAGCCCCCGACACACGCATGTCACCGTCCTCCTGGGCCGCAGGATTCCGCGCAGCTCACCCTCCTCCCAGCGCGACACCCACACCTCCGCCCGCCCGCCCGCCCGCACCTCCGAACACCCTCTCACCTGCTTGCAGAGACCCGTGTACTTCTTGATCGTTGTCCATCTCTTTTCCAAAAAAAAAAGGTTCCTCAATGCTTTTCTTTTCACAAGGGAAAAAAAAAGGAAAAAAAAAACAATGCCAACAGCCCAGCGCCCGTGAGCAACCCAACAGTAACAAAGCGTGTGCTCGGGACGGAGGAAGGTAAGGCCACGCGTTTCCATTTGCCGCTTGCTGCTCGGGCTGGGCGGCCGGGGCGACTCGGGGAAGGCGAGGGGGGCGTGTGTGCACCCCTCCTCCACGCCCGCTCCCACACGCGCTCACCGCTCTGTGGTGGAGGACAGAGGCCAGGACCGGCCACACCCGCCAGACCCTGGTTCTCTCTGACAGCTCACACTGAAAGCCCTCTCCCCCTGCCCCTTACCCCCTCACTCACTCACTCCAGAGCGCTCCCTGCTCACAGCTGCGTTCTAGGCCGTGGCCGGCACTGGGGATCCGGAGATGAGGCACAGGGCAGGCCCGGGGCTGGCCGCCGCGGGCACACCTGGCCGGCTGTGCCAGGGCTGCGGATGCTGGGCTCGGCCTGGGGGCCGAGGGAGCCTGCAGAGCTCTCAGAACTTCTCAAGTTCATTCCTGTAATTTGCTCAATTTCGTACCCTGAGTGAGGTGAGGCCTGGGCAGACCCTGGGAGGGAGTTTAGGCCTTATCCTGGGCACCGCGAGGAGGCGAAGGTTTCTGAGCAGAGAAAGAGCCAGGCGAGGTGTGTGCTGTACACAGACCACCGGCTTTGGTGCGCTGGCGGGTTGGAGAGCGGGGCGCGGGGGGTCTAGAGGTCAGGAGGTCAGTGGGGAAGGTAGCCAGGTGGGAAGTGCAGGCCTCAGCAGGCAGTGGCAGGGGGGATGGAGAGGAGGGGAGAGGCTGGTCACCCTGGGATGCGGGGCGAGGGAGAAGCCTGCCCACTCCCATCGTGCCCGACACCTCCTGAGCCAGGCAGCTACGAGGGGGGCGGGGGAGGGGGCCAGGAGCACTGCCCTGTGCTGGCACCCGATGGGACGAGCCGCGTCTGCTGGGACTTGGGGGTGGGGGTGCTGTGGGCCTGTGCCAGGGGCTGTGGGGGTGCCGCGCTTGGGCCCGGGCTGGGGCTCCTCGGCTTCCTTGGCAGCGCAGAGGCGTCAGCACGTCGCATCGAGAACAGGGGGGGCCGGTCCCCCAGCTCTGGAGAGGGGCCCGCCTCCCCCCTGTCCATGTGGCCTTTCCTGCTCCTTCCTCCGGGGCTTTCTTCCTTGGGCCTGGTGTCCAGACCCCAAGGAAGCCCCTGCTTTTCTTGCCGCTGACTGCCGGTGCGCTCCCCTGCCCTCCTGGCCCTGCTGTCAGCGCCCCCTAGTGCCGGGATGGCTGTGCATGAGGGCGAGGGCCTGTGGAGTCAAATGGGGGCCTCAGAAGCCTCTCACAAGCTCCCCTGCTTGCTTGTGGGAAAGAAGGGGACGGAGGACACTTTCTTGGGAGTCCAAAGCTTCCCTAGAGAAGCCCGAGGTCTGTCCTCTGCTTTCCCGTCCTCCCCTCCCTTCGCGCAATGACCTATCCTCCCGACCAGGGTGAGAAGCACGGCCAGGAAGGAGGGAGAGAGCCCACCCAGGAGCCGGGTTCTCCGTCCAGGCCCAGCTAACGCTTCCTCATCCCGGGCCCACCATCGTCAGACCCACTGCCTGCACCCACACTCCCCTCCTCTCTCACCTCCGTCTGCTGAGAGGGTCTGGTGCCAGCCACTCCCTTGCAGACGTGGCTGGTGCCACCCGAAGGCCCCTCCAGCCTGGGCCCAGGCGCCCGCTCCAAAGGAGGGCACCCAGACTCCCCACCCCCTCCTGTGGCTGCTGCTACTGAGCAGCCCCGGTGCTCCGGGGGTAGCCTGCAGCGAGTGGGGACCCGTGGTTAGTTCCTGGATGGCTGTAATGGCCAGCCCAGGAGCAAAGGCCACGGCCCATTCCCTAACCAGAGCCAGCTGGGCTGCGTGTGTGTGGCGGGGGAGGCTGGGGACGAAGGTCTCAGCCAGCCGGGACCAGGGGGCGGTCGCACATACCTTGCCGCCTCAGTCCCGAGCTCCTGAGGCTCCCTCCGTCCGAGGCAGGGGTCCCCTGGAGAAGGAAAGGTCACAGGTCACCACATGGCTCAGAGTCCGCCCAGGGCTGTGTGTGCCCACGTCTGAGAGCCCACGCTGAGGGACAGAAAGGGGGTCGGAGCCGGCCACTCCCCAAAGGCCAAGCAGCAGCTCCTCTCTCCTTGCCTTCAGCCCCCGGGGAAGTCCATTCACAACCCACCACCCGGTACCGGTCTTGGGTCAAGAGATGGTTGGGCAGTCAGGTGCCCGCTGCTGAATGAGGTGGGATCGGCTGCAAGATGGCAGCATGACTGAGCCAGGCGGGGCCGGGAGGAGGGGCTGGAGCCTCCCAGGTCCGCTCTGAGCATGTACATTGTGGAGGGAGTGGGTCTCAGGGGACCTGGTGGCCACGAAGGAAAAAGAAATCCTTTCTGCCCTGGACGAGGCCCCTCTCAGACCAGGCATTCCCTCCCGCCAAAGACGAACCCGGGCCTGGCCCGCAGGCAGGCTGCATGGGCGAGAACGAATGAGCCAGTGAGCGGCTGAGCCGGGGGGAGCTCTGGGCAGGCGGGGAGAGGAGGGACAGGCCGGGCGGGAAGCCGCAGCCCTCCTGGCCGGCTGCTCCCCGCCCGCCTGGCCTGCGGACCCAGGACAGGAGCTGGCCTTGGCGTGAGGGGCGCATGCGGGCTGTGCATGAGTGCGTGTGCAGGCGCGGGCGCACGTCCGCCGTGTGGTCCAGACAGATCGCCAGGGTGGTCATACGTCTGCCCCGGGGGGGGGGGGGCCCACACCCAGGGAACCACGGGAGCCCGCCAGCGGCCCCAGCTGCCACCTGTCCCTCCGGGGAGCGTGCGGGGATCCCCTGCAGAAGGACGGAGATGGACCCCGATGGGCGCCTCCACACCAGCAGCCCGGCGTGTGCCCGCCCCCTCCCCCGCCCCAGACCGCACTGACCGGGCCGGGCCCTCTCCTTGTCTTGCAGAACTTCAGCGCGAGGGAAGCATCGAGACTCTGAGTAACAGCTCGGGATCTACCAGCGGCAGCATCCCGAGGACCTTCGACGGCTACCGGTCTCCGCTGCCCACCAACGAGAGCCAGCCCCTCAGCCTCTTCCCTACCAGCTTCTCCTAGGCGCCAGCGGCCCGCTCCCGACCGAGGACCGGCCGGCCGGCCCGCCCGCGCACCTCCGCTGGAGGAAGGAGGAGACGCCCCCCCCCTCGCCCCGACGCTCCCCTTTCGCCTCTGCTCCTCGGTCACAGCCTCCGTCCCCAAGCTTAGTGACACGCCGCCCCTCCCCGGGCGGGGAAGAGACCCTCCGCCCAGCACCTGGGTGCGCGCTGGCCCGTCCGTCCGCCAGCGGGGCCGTGGCCGGAAGAGACCCCCTCCCGTCGGCACAGGGTGTCCTGCGCTGGGTCCGCTTTTGTATTTTCTAACCCACGGGGCGGGACCGGGGTGGGGAGAGGATGGACGGCCTGGCCAGGCGTTTGGACGCTGATCGCCAGCCACTGCCCAGCTCCCCCCGGTCAGCCTCCCTCTGGAATGGGGTGACCTGAGGCCCAGAGCGTTAGGGAAGGAGAAAGGGGGGGCGGGGAGGGAACACGCCCTCCTCCCCCTCGTCCCTTCGGCTCGTGGGAAGGACCCGTCTGTCTTGTCCCTGAGCCCGTGTCCACTGGTCCCGCACTGCTCGGCGAGGGAAACGGTGGTTCCCGAGGCCCTGTCCAAAGTGCACGTCTTTCCAATAAATCATGCTGCAACTGGTGTCCGGCCCCGAGCTGCCGCGGGCAGGGTCCTCGCCGAGCGCCGAGCAGAGTCCCGTGGGCCTGACCCCATGTCCCAGCTCCCAGCACCCCTGCGGTGACCTGTGCCACTGAGGGGGAGACATCGAGGGAATAGGAAGGAGGAGGCCGCCTGCCTTGGAATCTGGGTGGGGCCTGATTGAAATCCATTCTCCAACCTTCCTTCCTGTTAGCAGAGCCAGTGAGACTCCCCGTCCGTGGCAGGAGCAGGGGGAGCAAAAAGAGGTGCTGCGCAGGCTAGCACTAGCCCTCGTCCCCACTTCTCTAGACCCCAGAGAGGCCCGGGAGGATCGAAGGAAACCTAGGGAGCCAGTTGAGGTTTGGGGTGGAGCTTAACGGAACAGCCACCATCAGGCCTTCCCGTCCACATGTCCGACAGGAGCCGGGGCGGCTCTTGAGGCCCCTGCCACCTGCACAGGCACCCTCTCCAGCCTGGCACCCGAGAGGAGGCCAGCTGGGTCTGGTAGGAGAAGGGGGCCCCGAGTCACACGAGGTTCTGGAAGCCGGGGACTTGGCCCCACACACACACAGGGTGGCCGAAGCCAGTCCCTTCCGCCAGGGAGCCCGCAGGGTGAGCAGTCACGTGGCGGAGTGCCGCCTGCTGGGAGGTCAGGAGGCCTGGGCACCGCCCGCGGGCCCTGCTGGAGGGGCAGCAGCTTTTCCAGCCAGAGCAGTGTTCCAGGGAAAAGGGGGGCGGGGGGAGGGCTGCCACGAGTCTACCTGTGCATTCTACCCCTGGGCTGGCTCCCTGGGGGGTGAGCCCCTGAGAACCCACCCTATGGCAGCTGGATGGGGCCGAGATGGAGAGCCAGGAGCTGTCTCTGACCCTGCAGGGAGCGGGCTGGCAGCCTGGAGTGAGGAGTCCTCCCTGGCCCAGGCCTTTCCCTCCAGGGGGTGCAAACAGCTGTGGCCGCCTCCAGTCAGGGAAAGTGGTGGGTGTAGGGCCGGCCTTGCCGGCTGAGCTTGCAGGACAATCTGGTTATTCATCTGCTCACGGCCAGGGCAACTCTTTGAGAGCGTGGGGGGAGGGGAGGATAAGAGAGGCCAGATAAGCTGGCCCCATGGCGGCTGCCACTGGAGCTCGGGTTATCCGAGGGCCTGGGGCCTGGCCCCTGACTAATTGGGGAGGTTAGGGACCCTGCCACGGCCTGTAATCAGCTGGAAGTGAGAGCGGGCTCCAGGGTGGGGGACCTTACTGCCCGCTGGCCATGGAACCGCAGCCGCCTAGTCTCCAGAGAGAACACCTAAGGCCATCTCTGCCTCCGCCCGGGAGACCTCCGGGTGGCATTACCTAGGAGGCAATCAGAACATGCATCTGATTGTGGCCTGACCCTGTGACCTTGAGGCAGCCACGTGACCTCCCTGATTCTCACAGCACAACCTGCTCAAAGGACAAATGACTACGGACGTCCCCTCAGTGTGATGGAGGTGAAAACACCTCCAAGGTCTCTGAGGTGGCTGGGGGGAGCTGGGGTGGCAGCTCCAGGAGAGAGGGTGCTGCCTGGGATTGACCTGAGACAGAGCTGGGGGTCCCGGGGCAACATCAGGTGCACAGCGCTCTGTCCATCGCCACTGCCGGCTCCTCAGAAGCAAGTGGAGGCGGCAGGCAGCTGCCGTCTGAGACTGCACATGGCTCCTCGGTGCTGATTTTTCTGATTATCACAGCTCAGGGACTCTCTAAACTAGAAGGCCCCCAAAAGAGCACTATTGGGTCCCCATTTTGCAAAGAAGCTTAAGCCCCAGAGAAGGCCAGGGCTCGCCCAAGGTCACGAAGTCCCACAGCTGACCGGCTGGTGCCTATCTGCTCCTTGCTGCCTCACCTGAGGGCCCCTTTCTGAGCTGACCCGTGCCCCCACAAGATCCAAGACTCTGAGACTACTCACCCCCACCCCTGAGCCCTAAGGGCTTCCAGCTCCTCGGCCGAGGCTGTTTGTTGATTTTAGAGAGAGGAGAGGAACATCATGGGTCGCCTCCTGTACAAGCCCCCTCTCTCCGCTATGCGAAACCTAGGTAAAGGAATCAAACCGACCTTCTGGTGTACAGGAGGGAGCTCCAACCTACTGAGCCGCACGGGCCAGGGTCCCAGCCGGACCCTGACGCTGTCTTTGTCCCCCTGTAACAGGGCAGGCAGCCGCCCTCCTGCAGACTTAGAGCTGGAAACTCCGGGGCAAAGGGGAGAGCGTTCTTGTCTGTCTGGTATTTATAGCAAGAACCCGGCCTGCGGGTGGCGCCCTGGAGCCTCCGTATTGCCTTCCTGTCTGACAGGAGTAGCTACCTGGTCAGCAGCACCTAGGAAGTGAATGCCAGCCTGCTATTGTGGTTGTTGTTGTTAATCCTCCACTTGAGGATATCTCCATTGGTTTTTAGAGGGAGTGGAGGGAAAGGGGAGCCGGAGGAACACACATGGATTGGTTGCCTCTCACAGGACCTCCCCCCCACCACCAGGGCCTGGGGTTGAGCTTGCCATCTAGGGAGGTGCCCCTGAAGGGAATCAAACGCAGGACCCTTCTGTCCCGGGCTCTAGCCACCGAGCCAAACCAGCTGGGACCAACCTCCCTCTCTGAAGCTCCCAGGTGAATGCGGCTCCGCTGGCTTCAGGGTTTCCATCTGAGAAGGAGGGGGAGGGGAGCCTGCCCTGCAGAGAGGAGCCACAAGGCCAAGGCAGGCAAAGGAGAAACGGGGGTCAAAAAGGCAAAGGGGTGATGGGAGGGGCAGGCCAGGAGAGGGGAGGGAGGGCGGGGGCAGGGCAGTGGGAGCCCACGTTGCGGGGGGGGGGGGGGGGGGGTGCTGCCCTGGGAATCCGGCCCCGCATTTCCAAAAGCGAATCCAGAGCCCAGCGAGGAGCACGCAGCGCAGACCAGCCCCGCCCTCTCTCCGGGCAGGTGGGCCGGCCCCAGGGGTCCCTGCCTCCCACGCTGTGTCCCTTTTTCAAGCCACAAGCAGCAGGGCCTGTTCACGCTGCCAGCATCCCCGACACCAGCCCCTGACCTTGCGCCCCTGCACGTCTTCACACACGTGCACGACTCCCGACCTCAGCCCCAGAGCAGCGAGTAGTCTAGATCTCCCAAGGAGAGGGGATCCCCAAGTCTCTGAGGCTTCAGATCCCCAAGGCGCCGCGGGGACAAGACCCCGGTGGCCAGCTCAGGTGCAGAGCGACCCCCCTCCAAGGCCAGGGCTGCCCAGTCCTGTCCTGGGCCAGGCTGGGCCTCGCCTGCCCCTCCGCCTGGGAGAGTGGGTGCGGGGCCACACAGACACCAACCCGGCCCCCGGATCGGAAAAGGGCCCCGCTGCCCGGCCTGGCTCAAGGCGGGTGCCCCGGGAAGAGGTCGCGCCTCCAGCTCCCACCCCCACCCCCACCCCATCGCAGCCCCTTGGCCCGGCCCGCGCGGGGAAATTGGGTCGGGAGGGAGCGAGGGAGGCGACGGGCGGGCGGCGACCGCAGAGGCTGCGCGCCCATCAGCTGCAATTTGTCTAAGTGGCCAGGACAGGCCGGGCGCTGCGGGCCGGGGTCAAGGAGGCCTCGCCCCCACCCCGGCCAGGCCCGGGCCTCGGGGAGCCAGGCCGGGCGCTAACGGGGCTGGCTGGCGCCAGGGCTCCGGGAGGCGCGGGTCCGGCCTCGAGACCGGGATGGGAAGCCACTGTGTGTGTCTGCCCACATCCATGCACACACACACACACACACACACACACACACACGCACGCTTACACCCACACAGCTCTCCACTGTGAGCCCCGTCACCACCCTGGGCACAATCCTATCCGAATGCGCGCTCCTGCCAGCCTCGCCCCAGCCCCGATGCGGGTGCCCTCTGCTCCCCTCCAGCCGCGCAGGCAGGTCTCGCAGACCCACGCCCAGGCGCCCAGATTACAGACACGGGCGGCGGCGGCGCCCTCAGGGAAGGTCCCAGCAGTGGCCCTGGACCTCCCAGGGGTTAAGGGGCCGGGGCCTGCCGGGAAGGAAGCCCAGCCCGCCCGGCGGCCCCGCGGGGTTTCCTTCGGGCGGAAGCGCGGGGCGCAGGGAGCGCGCGCGGGGACCCCGGCCCGAACCGCGCCCGCCCGACGCCGCCGCCCGGAGGACCCGGGGGAGGGGGGGCCGCGGGCGCGTCCCCCGCCCGCCCGTCTGCGGGGCCCGGCCGATGCGAAGTGACAGGGGCCGGAGCTTTGTTGTGGAGCCGGGGCCGCCTGGCGCCAGCCGCCCCCGCCCGCGCCCTCCCCCTCCGGCCCCCGGCGGCTCGCAAGGCGCCCCCCCCCCCGCCCGGCCTCTTAAAGAGACACGCTCTCTCAGCTCTGGGGACCCCCCAGAGGCTCCAGTTCGGCGGGGTGGGGGTGAGCCGAGAAGTGGGGTGGGCCCAGGGGGGAAGGGGCCGGGAGGGAGGGGGCGCTGCTGAGTGAGCCTCCCCAGCGCCAAGGACATTCCTCGCTGGAGAGTTTGCAGAGGGGAGGAGGGGAGGGTGCACATTCAGAATCTGGAGAGTGGCTGTAGCAAAACCTTGGGTTCCCTGCGGGATGGGGGGCAGGACAGGACAGACTGCGGGGGCCTGGGCCCAGAACAAGCCTGTGGCCGCCGGAAAGCTGGAACTCGCGGTCCAGCTCCTGGGGCTAAGGGGGGGGTGGGGTCAGGGACCCCAAATGCAGCCGCTTGCACAGTCGCCGCCGCCCGTCTCGGGCAAAAATAATCCAGTCCAAGCTCTCTGGGCCTGGGACCCCTGGACCAGCCACGGACCTTCCCCAGGAAACTATCCCGATGGCACAGTTAGGTGCACACACATCCTTGCAAGTACGAAAGTGGGTGCACATACACGACGCTGCAAATGTAATGCACGGGTTTCCAGGCCGGTCCCCGGATCCCGGCTGTTACCGGGTCACCTCGTGGACGGCGCAAACCTGTCCACACACATCCCCTCCCCGGGGGCCACGTCCGGCAGGACTTTCCAGGCTCAGAGCTGCAACGGATCCCGCCCCGGCTGCGTAGACGGCACGGGCGCGGAGGCGAGGATTCGTTCTGGACAGAAAAGAGGCACCAAGTGAGGCGCAACGCACCCCCCGGGGAGCGACCCACCCGCCGGCGAGCGAGGTCGAGAAGAAAAAGCCGGTGTTGGGGGCGCCGCCCCTTTGAGTGCTGGGTAGGGGGGTTCCGAGAACATCGGAACCGGGTGGGAAAACAGGAAAAAAAAAATGGTCCAAGGCTCGGCGGTCCTGAGCCCAACATGCTGGGGTGAGCCGGCACCAAGTGCGCGGCGACAAGGTGCCCGGAGCCCGGTGCGCGCAGCGGATGGCACGGCGGCCCGGACGTTGCTGGGTGCGGGCTCAGGGCCTGTGCCCCGGGCTCCCCGCACCCCATTGGCTGTGCGGCCGGAGCAACAGGCCCGGCCTCACCGGGAACCAGGCTGAGTGTTGGCGCCGAGCAGGTGTGTGGCCGCCCCGCTGGCAGCGCCTCCAAGGACTGCTCCCACTGCGCAGAGGGCACCATCACATCAGAGGGTGTCACTCACACCCACTCACTCACACTCACACAAACACACACACACTCTCATACACACATACACAAACACACACACACAAACACACTCTCATACACACACAAACACATACAGAGAGACACACACACACACACACACACACACACACCGGGGTGGGGGTCCTGGGGCTGCTGGAACACCGGACTGGATGGCGCACCTGCGGCCGAACACACGTGCGATCCGCTGCCCGCAGGTGCGCCCGCTTCCGCTCCCGCCGCCCCGCACCCCGGGCCTGGAGACAGCGGCGGGAGCGGAAGGAGGGTGCCTGCGTTTGGGATGAGGGAGGCTTTTGTCTCCGGTACCGGATGCGGCGAAAACAAGATGGGTTGCGGGTCAAGAACCCCGGGCCGGGATGGGCCGCCTGGTGCCGGGCGAAAGGTGCGCTCCCTTCCCGGCCCCGAGCAGCCCTCGGAGGGCCCGGGTCTGGGTCGGGGCCCAGAACTCCCAAGTCCCTCCTGGGTCCTCTGGGAACGGGGGGCGCGGGCCCGGGGGTCCCCTAGTGCAAGGCCGCGCGCCCCGCTCCCGCCCACGCCGCCCCACTCACCGGTCCCGCCACGGGCGTCCTCTCCGGGGCCGCGCCCGCCACCGGCCGCTCTCCCCGGCGCCCGCGCGGCTCCCCCCGGAGCGGGCCCCGGCGGGCGGCGCCGGCAGCGGGGTCGGAGGCCACGCGCGGAGCGGGCCGGAGCGTCCGGGCCGCCGGGCGCGGGCGGAGGGCGCCCCCTCTCCTCTCGGGGCCGTGTCAATGCTTTGCACTTGGGGCGGGCGAGCGGCGGGGGGTCCTTTCTCGGGGCCCTGAGGCCGGGGCGCCCCTCGCCTCGAGCCCATTAGGCGGCGGGTCGGATCGGCCGGCCGCGCTCCCGGCCCGGGCGCCGGCGGCCTCGGGCTCGGGCGCGGGGTGGGGGCCGGGGCAGGGGGAGGGGTCTCGGGGCCCGCTGGCCCGTCATTGGTTAATATTTTATTCTGTTGACATGTTTTCTTACTGCTGAGGCTTCCGACACCTTCTCCCCGGCCCCCCCTCCCGGCCGGAGCTTGGCCTGAGCTGTCAAAACCCCGCCCCCGGAGACCCACAATTGGTCCAAAAAGCGTAAAATCAGCAATCAAGGGGGGCCTGGCTCGTTAGCGCAGGGGATCCGGGCAGGGCAGGACATGTGAGATAGTCACAGTTTCCCAGAGATCACGACAAGATCTGACCAGTCGCGCGTGGTCGCCGGCGCCGGAGCGGCCCAGCCCAGCCCAGCCCGGCCCCGCGCGGAGCCCCCGCCGCCGCCCCCGCGCGCAGCCCGCGCCCCTCGCTGCGCGCCGGGGCCGGAGCGGGAGGAGCCGCCGCCGCGCCCGCCGCCCGCGCGCCGCCGCCCGGGCCGGGGGTCCCAGCCCCGCGCCCCCGGCCCCGGCCCCGGCCCCCCGGCCCCCGGGCGCCCGGGCCGGATGTCCCGATGAGAGAGCCGGCGCTGGCGGCCAGCGCCATGGCTTACCACCCGTTCCACGCGCCGCGGCCGGCCGACTTCCCCATGTCCGCCTTCCTGGCGGCGGCGCAGCCCTCCTTCTTCCCGGCGCTCGCGCTGCCGCCCGGCGCGCTGGCCAAGCCGCTGCCGGACCCGGGCCTGGCGGGGGCGGCGGCCGCGGCGGCGGCGGCAGCGGCGGCGGCCGAGGCGGGGCTGCACGTCTCGGCACTCGGCCCGCACCCGCCCGCCGCGCATCTGCGCTCGCTCAAGAGCCTGGAGCCGGAGGACGAGGTGGAGGACGACCCCAAGGTGACGCTGGAGGCCAAGGAGCTGTGGGACCAGTTCCACAAACTGGGCACCGAGATGGTCATCACCAAGTCCGGGAGGTAGGGCGGCCGGCGGGCCGGGGGGCGCGGGCGGGCGGGCTGGGGGCCCACAGCACCCGCCGCCGAGCCTGCCCCGCGCTCCCTCCTTCCCGGCCCGGCCGGCGCCGCGCTCAGCTCCACCGACAACCAAGTGACTTTTCTCCTTTGGCACCGAGCGACATTTAAAGAACGAAAACGGCAAACTCTCCCGAATGAAGTAAAACGAAAACGTGCTCCGAAAGAAGAGTCCCAACCCTTCTCCGCCCGCGGCGGCGGAGGCCGGCGGCTCGGCCCCGGCGGGGCTCCGAGGTCTCGGCTGCCACGGAGCCTCGCGGCCTGGCTCTCCGCCTCCCGGTCTGGCGTGGAGCTGGGGAGACCCAGCGCCTCCCGGACTTCCTTCCCACCCTGGAGCCCAGAATGGCACCCGCGCCCTGCTAGACCCAGGCTGCCCCGCCGGTTCGTCTGGACCGTTCGGGTCTGCACAGCGGAGCCAGCCCAGCCGCAGCCCTGGCCCGGCCCGGCCCGGAGCCTCCCCGGGGCCTAGGAGCAAGGAACTCCGGACACCTCGGCCCAGGCCTTACCGCCAAAAGGCAGCTGCCGCCCGCACCCCTCAGCCCTGCCACCAGCCCAGCCCAGGCCGCAGGCTGCCCTCTTCCCTGGAACGGGAGGGTCAGGGCCCTTGCCGGGCACTGCCACCCAGGCCCCCACACTCACACCCTCCGAAGGCATTCCCTTCCCGGAGCTGCTGTCCCCGTGGGGACATTGCAGGCAGAGCAGGCGGAGGGCCTGTGTTTTCAGAGGGTCTGGATTTCCTGCCTGGACATTGGCCATCCTCTCAGTTGAGAGTGAAAGGGTTCCTAGACCCGAGCCTAGGATCTAACAAGAAATAGGATTTTTTTTTCACAGAAACAGCCACAGGTGGGGTCCCCCAGGCAGCAGTGAGGGGGCAGAAGGAAACCCAGATGCGGGAGCCCCAGGCCGCGGGGTGTGTCCCGGGGAGAGAGTCCAGGGACCCGGAGGGACCCGGAGCCGGGCCCCACGGCCTCTCTTCCCTCTCCCTTCCTCGCAGGCGGATGTTTCCTCCCTTCAAGGTGCGGGTCAGCGGCCTGGACAAGAAGGCCAAGTACATCCTGCTGATGGACATCGTGGCCGCCGACGACTGCCGCTACAAATTCCACAATTCCCGCTGGATGGTGGCCGGCAAGGCCGACCCCGAGATGCCCAAGCGCATGTACATCCACCCGGACAGCCCGGCCACGGGGGAGCAGTGGATGGCCAAGCCCGTGGCCTTCCACAAGCTGAAGCTGACCAACAACATCTCCGACAAGCACGGCTTCGTGAGTGTGGGGCAGGCACCGCAGACAGGCAGGCCAGGTCCCCAGAGGGGAGCGCCAGCAGAGCCCCGGGGTGCCCCTGCCCAGGTCTCCCGCCCTGGTTTCTGCGACTGGGCCTGGGCCGGCCGGATGGCTGTGCTCCGTGAGCCGGGGATGGCAGGGCAGGGGCGGTAAGTCCCAGGCCACCCACCCTCTGGGCTTGGGTCCGGCCTCGGCCTCGGGAAAGTCCTTCCTGGAGACCAGTGGGTGCGGGTGCGGTTTAGGGTCTTTAGGTGTTGAGCTTGGAAGACCTGCCCATGACCTCAGCTTGTTTTCACCTTTCCTCCCCCAAAGGAGGAGATTTAAACGTTAGCTCTGGCCCTCCATGCCCTCCCTGAGACCCCCTTCCCTCTCCCCACCGTGGGACGCAGACCGGCAGGAGGGAGTTTGGAGGTTCCCTCTGCTTCCGCCTAAGCCGGGCCCAGCTACCCGGAGGGAGGGGGGGTCCGTGGGGCAAGGGGACTGCCTAGTTGTAGTTAGGGCCGCTGGTGAGTCCTCCAAGTTCCCGTCCTCTCTGCCTGGGCTTTCTGGGGCTGAGCAGTGAGCCTAGGAAGCGGGGTGGAGAGCGGAGTTGTGGAGGGTTTTTACGTTGTTTCGTTTCTGTTTTCACCTCGGGGAAATATTTTTAAACGGAGAGAGATACTGTGATAAAGAAAATAGGCTGAAAAGAATTACAAACGAGAGGAAAAAAAGAGCAGGGTGGGGGGAACACACGCAGGAGAGATAGCAAAGGGAGGGGAGGGGTGTGGGGAAAGCAGAACCGTGTGGGAGAGGTGGGGTCCCCGGAGAACGCTCCGGGAAGGCGAGGGGCCACCGGCTGACCACACGCTCGCTCCCCGCAGACCATCCTGAACTCCATGCACAAGTACCAGCCGCGCTTCCACATCGTGAGGGCCAACGACATCCTGAAGCTGCCCTACAGCACCTTCCGCACCTACGTGTTCCCCGAGACCGACTTCATCGCCGTCACCGCCTACCAGAACGACAAGGTGCCCCACGAGCGCTCCCGCTTGCATAAAGGCCCCAGCACCCCGTGTGCACCCAGCCCTTCCCCGCTCCTCCCCAGCCTCGCCCCCTGGCCCGATCCCCCACCAGGTCTCCCTCTGTGAGCCCAGAGCCCACGGAGCCCTGGCCCCTCCCCAGCCCACAGCGCACACGGACACGCTCCCGGGAGCCAACAGCTGGGCGCTCCCGGAGATGTTTACTTAGCAATTAGCAGGGACGGGGCCGCTGACAATTTTACATTTCATTCGTTTATTTCTTGGCTCCGGGATGGGAATTTAAATGAAGAGAGAGCAGCCCTAGGCAATGTGCCCGGGCTGGCGGGTGGGCGCTCTCCACGCTAAGAACCCGGGGCCCAGCTCTCCCTCTCCCGGGGGGGCCAGAGATCGGGCAGGTGACAGCCCCCCAGGCCACCACCTTTGGGCCTGTCCAGGCCCCAGGCCACTTAGAGACTTTTCCTTTCAGCCAAGCCTCCCCCCCCTCCCCTACCCCCACCCTCACCCCGCTTTCTGCTCCCTCTCCCTAAAGGGCCAGAGCAGCACCCTGTGGGTCCGCTCGGTGTGTAGAACTCCCCTGCCCATCCTCCTGTCTGTTTGTGAGCCTGTGAACCCATGTGTACGCTCCAGTGTGTGTGCACCGTTTGGGGCGTGTGGAGGCATGTTTACGTGTTTGTTCTGCAGGCCCTTGGTGTGTCTGTGTGTGCGGGCCGTGAGCGTGGCCTGTTTTACGTGCCCCGCTGCCTGCCCCGGTGCCGGCTGTGCCCGCGGGCGTGCGGGGACAGATCCACGCTGTGCTGCAGCCTCGGGCCTGTGTGTGCAACGCCGGGAGAGACCTGTGGCTTTCGGAGAGGCCCGCCGGCGGCCACACCGGGCCTTCGGGCTCAGGGCTGCGCATCCCAGGGGGAGGGCATCAGGGGACATCCCGGCTCTCCTCCGGCTGCCGCCCGCCAGGTGCCCCAGCCCAGGTCGGAAGAACCCTGACCTGGCACCGCCCTCTCGGTCCCCGCAGATCACACAGCTGAAGATCGACAACAACCCCTTCGCCAAGGGCTTCCGGGACACGGGGAACGGCCGGAGGGAGAAAAGGTGCGGGGCGCGCGGGACCCACCCCGGGCGGGAGCTGCAGCGGCGGGTGGGTGGGTGCGCTCCCGTCTGAGCCGCCCCCCACCCCCCTCCACCCCCGTGCGCCCCCAGGAAGCAGCTGACGCTGCCCTCCCTGCGCCTGTACGAGGAGCACTGCAAGCCGGAGCGCGACGGCGCCGAGTCCGACGCCTCGTCCTGCGACCCGCCCCCCGCGCGGGACCCGCCGCCGTCCCCGGGGGCGGCGCCCAGCCCCCTCCGCCTGCACCGGACCCGAGGTGAGGGGCCACACCGCCCGCAGGCGGGGGAGGGGACGGAGGGCGCCCCCAGAGCTCGGGCTGGCTCTTTGCTCCGAGTCAGGGCGGCCTCGGGGCCTGGGAGGCACCTGGTTTGGACGCCCCGGAGACCGGTCCCTGAGGCCAGCAGATCCCGCTGGGCTGCAGGCTGCGATCCAGGGCCCCAGCCGCTGGCAGGAGAGGGAACCAGGAGGCTCAGTTCCTCCTGGTGCCGAGGGGTCTGGACTAGGTGACCGGCCACTGCCCCTGGCCCCCCGAGGATCAGAGCCTTCCACTTGCTCCCCCAGACAGCGGGCCTTTCCAAGTCTCCCGGACCCGCCCAGACAGGGAGAGCCCTGACTGTCCCCCGGCCCGTCGCCCTGCCCTCTCTCCCCTGCAGCCGCCCCCGTCACCCTGCCCTCTCTCCCCTGCAGCCGCCCCCGTCACCCTGCCCTCTCTCCCCTGCAGCCGCCCCCGTCACCCTGCCCTCTCTCCCCTGCAGCCGCCCCCGTCACTGTCACCCTGCCCTCTCTCCCCTGCAGCCGCCCCCGTCACCCTGCCCTCTCTCCCCTGCAGCCGAGGACAAGTCGTTCGCCGCAGACAGCGACCCGGAACCCGAGAGGCTGAGCGAGGAGCGCGCGGGCGCGGCCCTGGACGGCAGCCCCCCGCGCCTGCCCGACCCCGAGCGCAGCCGCAGCCGGGAGCGCCGCAGCCCGGAGCGGGGCAAGGGGCCGGCGGAGAGCGGCGGGGACAGCCCGTTCGGCCTGCGGGGCCTGGAGAAGGAGCGGGCGGAAGCCAGGAGGAAGGACGAGGGGCGCAAGGAGGCGGGTGAGGGCAAGGAGCCCGGCCTGGCCCCGCTGGTGGTACAGACGGACAGCGCGTCCCCCCTGGGCACCGGGCACCTCCCGGGACTGGCGTTCTCGGGCCACCTGCACGGGCAGCCGTTCTTCGGGCCCCTGGGGGCCGGCCAGCCGCTCTTCCTGCACCCGGGACAGTTCGCCATGGGCCCTGGGGCCTTCTCCGCCATGGGCATGGGCCACCTGCTGGCCTCGGTGGCAGGCGGCGGCAGCGGCGGGGGCGGGCCGGGGGCCGCCACCGGGCTGGAGGCCAGCGGACTGGGCCCCACCGTCAGCGCAGCAAGCACCGCGCCCTTCCCGTTCCACCTCTCCCAGCACATGCTGGCATCTCAGGTAAGGCCTGGGCTCCCGTGGCATCGCGATGGAGGGAGGCTGGGGTGGGCACGGGGCCAGAGGTGCTGCGGTGGGTAAGGACCCCGTCCTGGGAAGACCCGATAGACACTCTCTAGGACTCGTGCTCCAGGGGTACCACCACTGTAGGTCCAGGGTCTGGCCAGGGTGCTCCTCTGACTCCTGTGTGACCTTGGGCCAGTCCCCGGCCCTCTCTGGGCCCATTTCCTCCCCTATTAATCACAACAAACGGAAGCACCCATTAGACTCTTCCTGTTTGACCGGCTGGGGCTGCCCCTGGCTTTTGGGGAGTCCACTTTCCTTGGGAACAAAGACCCCTGGCTCCCTGTCAGTCCCTGAAAGGCCAAGGTGGCTGGACAAAGACAGGAGGGGAATATTGTCCAATATTTCCTAGATAACTGACCACTAACACGACCCGCCTCCAGGGGTGTTCTCCACCCCCCCCCCCGGAAGTCCTCTGACCTGCCCAAGGCCAGGGCTGTTCCTGGTCCCCCCTCCGGTCTCCACACTCCCCGCCACACAGCTGGGGGTGGGGGAAGGAGCTCCGTTCTCGGGCCGGTTGGAATTCTGAGCTCCCAGGGGAGAGTTCATTAAACTGTGGCCCATGGCAAAGCAAGGAGATCCGATGAGGTGTGCGGCCTCTTTGGTTGCTTGGGCGGGATAGTCCCTGTGGAAAGATTTGGATTCTCTTCATTCGTTTTCTCCCCTCTGAGGTTTCTGGCAAATTGAACCCTCAAGATCCTATCTGACGGGAAGGAAAATAAGGAAAATAGGAGTTCGGTTCAGAAGCAAACATTTTTTAAAGTGAGGGAGGAGACGCTGAAATAGGTTTTAAACGGCGTGAAAAACTTTTTTTTTTTTTTACGGGGCGGGTGAGTGTTTGAGGCACTAACATCACCTACCTAGGGTTCTGAGCTGGCAAGGAAGCACCTGGAAAATAAGAGTTCAGGGCCTGGAGGTGGGATCTGAGCCCTTGATTCTGCATGTATGTGGATGCACCCTCCCCAGACAAATTCCGGTGACCAGCATGGGCATTGTGGAGGTCATGGGGAAGTCACGGCGTCTAGACTCAGCCTGGTCAACAGGTGCCAGGCCGGGGAGAGAGCACTCAGCACTCGGGAGGCATCCCTTGGTGCATGGCTGGGAGTTAAGTACCCAAGAGGGCAGCCCACCCCTGGCCATCAGGTCGTGCCAAGTGAGAGCCGATGCCAACCTCCCTTCTCCCAACGTGGGATGCCAGGTCTGAGTGCCCAGTAGGGCTTGACCTCCTGGGAAGGATATCTTTTCATTTCTGACTAAGCTACTTTTTTTTTTTTCCTCTTCCCGCCTGAGCCAGGCCTGAGTCTCTCCAGCAGCCCCAAGCACAGCCTGCTCCCTGCCCTCCTCCCTGTACCCACAGACTCTGGGGCCGGAGCCATCATTTCAAAGGTCACATAATCCAAAAGCCAGGCCTCGTGGACTCAGGTGGTGTTTGCCCAAGGTTTCCTGGCCGCCGTGCGGTCCACAGGCAAAGACCGCATTCCTCCCTCAGCTGCCACTGAGGTGCTGCCAGTTCTTTATGGGATGTTCGGGCCAGTCCATAAACTGATTGGCACCTGTACCCTCTGCCCGGCCTGGGCAGGGGCCTCTGGGCAGGTGGGCAGGCAGAGGGCGACATGACAGAGCTCCTCCCCCCCATGCCCCATGCTGTGCTCCCTCCACCCTTTGGGGCACCTGCAGAGAGCAGGGCTGGGGAGGACACTGTCCCAAGTGAGCAGAACTTCCCGAGACAACCACAGCCGCCGCCGCTTGCCACCTGGACCCACGCCTGCCCGTTCCCTCCCTCTAGGCCTTCGTCGCCTAGGCCAGTCCCGCGGCCTGGCATGTCCTTCCCTTCCGCAGACTGGCACTGAGCTTTGTGTCAGCTCGAAGGGTGCTCCCCTTCTCACTGGGTTTGGCCGTGGGCCTGCGGCTCCTGCCTAACTGGAAGATAAGAGTTCAGGGCCCCGAGGTGGGATCTGAACCCTGGATTCTGCCTGTGGGTGAACGCACCCCCCCCCCCCGTGGGCTGCGTGAGGCAGAGCTGTGTGTGCTCCGGCCTTCTGTTCCCAAAGAGTCCCCACTGCAGTTCCCAAAGAGGCTTCCACTGCAGGGAGCCTCCCTGCAGCCCGCCAGCACCCAGGCGGGATCCTAACCTCTGTGCCGTCCTGTTTCTTCCAGGGAATCCCGATGCCCACTTTCGGAGGCCTCTTCCCCTACCCCTACACCTACATGGCCGCCGCGGCCGCGGCCGCCTCCGCCCTGCCGGCCACCAGTGCCGCCGCCGCGGCCGCCGCCGCCGGCTCCCTCTCCCGGAGCCCCTTCCTGGGCAGTGCCCGGCCCCGCCTGCGCTTCAGCCCCTACCAGATCCCCGTCACCCTCCCGCCCGGCGCCGGCCTCCTGGCCGCCGGGCTGGCGGCCGAGGGCCCCAAGGCGGCGGGCGGCAGCCGCGAGCCCAGCCCGCTGCCCGAGCTGGCCCTCCGCAAGGGGGGCGCCCAGCCCCGCGGGGCCCCGTCCCCCGGCGGCGCGGCCAAGGAGGCGGCCAGCGAACTGCAGAGCATCCAGAGGCTGGTGAGCGGGCTGGAGAGCCAGCGCGCCCTCTCCCCCGGCCGGGAGTCTCCCAAGTGACAGCCGCCGCCCGCCCGCGGCTGCTCCGGCCTCGCTGGCCTCCCTCCCGGCCCCGCACAGAACGGTATTTATTTAAGCAAAGGACGGAAGCGGCGGCGAGAACGGAGCCCCGGCCAGCCCCGGGGCCGGGACCCTGGCCCTCCTCCGGCATCACCGTGGCTCGGGGGCCCCTGGCCTCGGTCCAGGTTTGCTCCAGGGCCCAGGGGGCACCGTGGGGGGCCCTGTCCGGGTCCCCCTGTGCTGCGGGGAGCCCTCGCCCCCAGCCCAGCGGTCTCTTCGGAGCCTGAAGGTGCAGGGTTAGGGCAGGAGGGCGGCCCAGAGGCCCCAGCCTCCCGCCTGCACCGCCTGAGAGCCGGGCTGAGGGACGCTGGGGTCTGGGAAGCCCGAGGTCAGTGCAAACTGGAGCGGGGAGGGGCCGTTTCTTTCCGTCCTTGCACCCCCGCCCCCATCCCCCCAGGAGGCAGGAGCCCCTGCCACCCCTGGTCAGCGGAGGGAGTGGCACTTGAGTCCCCAGGGAGAGGGAAAAAAGAAGATATTTATGAAATAAATGGTAATTTGTGTAAATATGCTTTAAGATTCCCAGAATATGCAAATTGGTATTAATTTATTCAAAGGTGTACATTGCTGTGTACATACTATGTAGAGATTAACTCATAGCATTTAATTTTTTTCCATTTTACGTGAGCATCTATATTGTACAGGGCGGGGGGGGGGGGGTCTCGGCGGCAGGAGGAGGCCCCGCGCCCAGAAGAGCCCCCGGCCCCGGCCCCGGCCCCCGGCCTGCGGGCTCCACCTCAGGTTTTCACTTTTCTCTCCGGAGCGGAGCGAGATGAAACAACAAAAACAAGCAAACGAAAAAAAAGAGACAAAACAATAAAACGCGAGAAAACAATAAAACGCTGCAGTGCGAAGTGAACGGCGGTGCGCTCTGTGGTGCGGGGCGGGGCGGGGCGGCGGGCGGCGGGGCTGGAGGGGACGGAAGGGGGCGCCCGGCGGGGTGGCGGCTGCACCCGGGGCGGCGGGGCGGCGGCGGGGCGCGGGGCACGGGGCCGGGCCCGGCTGCCCGGAGCCCCCAGCGCGGACCGCGGCCAGGCCGGGGCCCGGGCTCCCTCTACTGGCCACTCGCCCACTCGGGACTCCGGCTCCCTTTGGGGGGAGGGGGCCTAGAGGAAAGGCGACCCCTTCCAGCTCCTGAGGGGGTGGGGCTGGCCAGGTGGGTGGCCCCTCTCCTCCGAGGAGACGTTTGGCCCCGATACCGCAGACCCTGGAGCTTTCCCATCGCTACCCCCCAGCCCGAGGCTGCTGAGCTGCTGACTCCCGCGGCAACGTTCAGCCTGGAAGTTCTCCCGAGTGACTTTACTGACTCCCTGGGAGTGTGGGGCGGGTGGCCAACTGGCCATTCCTGCTCTCCTGCCTCGGTTTCCCCGGCGGGGACTTTCTCTGGGGTCCCACTGGGTCCGTCTCCACGAGGCTGATCCTTCCCCAGACACTGAGGCCAGGACAGCCGCCCCTCCCCTCTTTGCCCCCCCCCAACAGCAGGCAGCAGCGGTGGGAAGGGGTAGGAACTAGACCATCAGTCTCTCTCTCAACCCCCCCCCCCCCGCAATGATCTCTCCATCACTGAGCCCCCAGTTCTCTCTTTTTTGTGTGACTTTTAAAAAATATATATTTTATTTTTCACAGAGAGGAAGAGAGAAAGATAGTTAGAAACATCGATGAGAGAATCATCCATCAGCTGCCTCTTGCACACCCCCTACTGGGGATGTGCCCCTCGCAAGGTACATGCCCTTGACCGGAATCAAACCCGAGACCCTTCAGTCCGCAAATCAACACTCTATCCACTGAGCCAAACTGGTTTCAGCAGTGACTTTTTTTTTTTAACGAAGTCAATTTTATTTCCTTAAACCACAAAACAGGGTCTTTGGTTGTATAGACATCACTAGTTACAGTCTTGCCAAGAGTCCCAGCTGGGGAGGGAGCGGTTGGTGGCGGCAGAACTCCTGAGGGGTCTCTCAGACCTATCGCCAGGTTAAAAGACGGGCGGAGGCCGGTGGTGCTGGGAAGGGAGGGCCCTCAGGAGGGCACCGGGCCCAGGCCGGGCGCCCGGCCGCAGGGGGCGGCGGCTGCTACACAGGCCCCTGGCCACCTCCCCGTCCTCCTGCAGGCACCGCAGCTCCTCGGCGACATCCGAAATCCGGGGACTGCAGGTCACAGACAGGCCTGGAGGAGGGCCGGCGGCCAACACCCTGTAGTGGAACTCCCTCCCAGACCAGGCCAGGCGTCCCGGGGAGCTGCCGGTCAGCGGGCCGAGGCTAACAGTCCGCAAACCAACACTAGCCACTGAGCCAAACTGGTTCGGGCAGTGACTTTTTTTTTTTTTTTTTACATTCTATACTATTTTCTATTCGTGTCCAGTGTACAGCCTCGTGGTTAGGCAGTCATACCTTACAAAGTGGTTTCCACCTGGCACCATGCATCGTTATCACAACAGTCCCGACTCTCCCTCCCCTGCCCTGCGCTTCACATCCCGCAGATTTGTGCTTCTCACCCTTCACCAGCTTCATGCTGTCACGCAGCCCTCCCCTCTGGCCACCGTCGGTCTGATCCCTTTACCCAGAGCCCCAGTCCGCTCCTCTCGGGACACGGAGGGAGGGTGGAGGTGGAGGTGGAGCTGACAGCTTCCTGGGCCCGCACAGCCGCGGGAAGGAGGACGGTGGGCCTTTCCCGGGAGGGGCCGCCCCGACCTCGCCGCCTCCGCTGGGGTCCGGCCAGGGAGCGAGCGGAAGGCGCCGGGGTCTGTCCGGCCCCAGAGGGGGCGCCGCGCCCCTGCCCTGCCCTTCGGGCGGGGAACAGCGAAGGGGCATGCCGTCCAGGGACCGGCTGAGACTCCTTTCTCGGCTCAGAAAGAATCCCTCATCGACAGTGTATTTATTCGACAAGGGTTTGGGGAAGAAACAACAACAAACGCTTCCAAGACCCAAAGAGCAGCCGGAGCGCTGGCCTCTTGGTTTCCCACGGGCCGCACGTCCAGCAGGAGGGAGGAAGGCTGCGGGTTCCCGGCGCCTGCGGAGCCAGCTGCGGACGCCAGGGGGAAGCACCGGCCGGAGGGGCCGGGGGCCAGTGGGAACAACCCGGAGGGTCGCTGCCAGGGCGGGGCGGGGCGGGGCGGGGAACCCAGAGGCCCCCAGCCCGCAGTGTGCAGCCGGCCCCCCATCTCCGCCTCCCGCCGCGCACGGCCCCGCCCGGAGTCCCCCCGGAGCGCTCCGCTGGGTCACGGCTGGAGCCCCGGTTCAGTTCGGCTGCGCCCCAGACAAAGGCCAGGCCGCTTCCTGGCCCAATTAAGCCACCCCGTTCCATCCCTCTTTGTTCCCAGGGCTGCAATTAGCCCAGGCTCCTCCGTCCCGCCGCCCCCGCCCGGTGCCCAAGGCCTCCTTAACCCGTGAGGGTCTGGCTCCGGGGGCCCCAGACTGCGGAATCCCTGGCGAGGACCTGTGTGGAGGGCGCGTTTGGGGTGACCGGGTAGCTGAGGCTGTGGGTGGTGTGATGTGTCTCAACGGGGCCCTGTGCTTTGGAGCCCTTCGGCCTGAGAGGGAAGTGTCTCTCTATACAAAATCTATACTGTGCACAATCTGTCCTGTACACAATCTGTCCTGTACACAATCTGTCCTGTACACAATCTATACTGTGCACAATCTGTCCTGTACACAATCTGTCCTGTACACAATCAATACTGTACACAATCTATACTGTGTACAATCTGTCCTGTGCACAATCTATACTGTGCACAATCGTTCCTGTACACAATCTATACTGTGCAAATCTGTCCTGTACACAATCTGTATTGTAAACAATCAATACTGTACACAATCTATACTGTGCACAATCTGTCCTGTTTACAATCTGTGTTGTACACAACCAATACTGTACACAATCTATACTGTGTACAATGTCCTGTACACAATCTATACTGTGCACAATCTGTCCTGTACAAAATCTATACTATGCACAATCTGTATTGTACACAATCAATACTGTACACAATCTATACTGTGTACAATCTGTCCTGTGCACAATCTGTCCTGTACACAATCTAAACTGTGCACAATCTGTCCTGTACACAATCTATACTGTGCACAATCTATACTGTGCACAATCTGCCCTGTACACAATCTATCCTGTACACAATCTGTCCTGTACACAATCTATACTGTACACAATCAATACTGTACACAATCTGTCCTGTGTACAATCTGTCCTGTACACAATCTATACTGTGCACAATATGTCCTGTACACAATCTATACTGTGCACAATCTATACTGTACACAATCAATACTGTACACAATCTGTCCTGTGTACAATCTGTCCTGTACACAATCTATACTGTACACAATCAATACTGTACACAATCTATACTGTGCACAATCTGTCCTGTACACAATCTATACTGTGTACAATCTGTCCTGTACACAATCTATACTGTGCACAATCTGTCCTGTATACAATCTGATGTATGTACACAATCTATACTGTGCACAATCTGTCCTGTACAAAATCTATACTGTGCACAATCCATACTGTACACAATCAATACTGTACACAATCTATACTGTGTACAATCTGTCCTGTGCACAATCTATACTGTGCACAATCTGCCCTGTACACAATCTGTCCTGTGCACAATCTATACTGTGCACAATCTGTCCTGTACACAATCTGTCCTGTGCACAATCTGTCCTGTACACAATCTATACTGTACACAATCAATACTGTGCACAATCTGTCCTGTACACAATCTATACTGTGCACAATATGTCCTGTACACAATCTATACTGTGCACAATCTATACTGTACACAATCAATACTGTACACAATCTGTCCTGTGTACAATCTGTCCTGTACACAATCTATACTGTGCATAATATGTCCTGGACACAATCCGTATCGTACATAATCAATACTGTACACAATCTATACTGTGTACAATCTGTCCTGTACA